ACATAACTTGAGATGATTAATTCCAATGTCATGCTTCTGATGCGAATAAACAAAGAGTTGTGTGACATGTTATGACTAGGGATATTATGTTGTAAAACATTATTATAGCCTCGAAATTTCACAACAAATTAATAAAAAATAGAGAGCAAAATGATTCTTCTTACCTTCTATCCAGCGCAGCATCAAGCGTGATCATACCTAATTAACTTGTAATCCAAAATAGGTGTAGACGGAAATTGTAAGATCACAAAACACATTCTTTATTAACACATGAAAAAATAGATAAAAATTCGTTAGTATTCCAAATACATATTGAAAAAAAGGAGTTATATTATAGAGAGTCATTGTCCTTTCCTGAAGGAGTGAGAAAAGGTAAGTGTAAAGAATAAGAGAGTTGCACAGTTAACTCTTTTGCAGGGTTTCCAGTTCATACAGTTTATCGTGCTATTGGTGACAGTCCATCACTATATGCATACTAACACCCCTACTTGATGGCAGGATCGCCATTTGCAGCGATTCTCGAAGTTTCTCGAACTCAGGCTTGCCTAGTGGTTTGGTGAGTGGATCCGCAATCATGTCAGAGCTTCTGCAGTAGTGTAAGCACAGGATCCCGTTTTGTTGAAGTTCACATAAGTAGTGGTATTTCACGTTTATATGCTTTGTTCTGGAGCTATTTTTCTCCGTTTGTGATAGTTTGATGCATGATTTGTTATCTTCATAGAGAGTAATCGGAAGATTTTGTTTTAGTTCTAGATCTTTAAGCAAATTTAAAAGCCATTGTGCTTCTTGTGCTGTATTAGCTGCTGCAATATATTCTGCTTCAGTTGAAGATAGTGCAATTCGTTTGCTGCTCCATAAAATGCAGTTATTTCCTAGTTTGAATATGTATGTGCTAATGGATTTTCTTGATGTTCTGTCATTTGCCCAATCTGCATCCGAATATGCAGTTAGTATAGGTTCTTGAATTTTGTTAAAGACCAATTTAAAGTCTTTAGTTGTGATGCAAGTATCGAATGACTTTCTTGACAGCATTCCAATCTATATTCCTAGGTTTTTCATTTCTTCTACTCAGTAGATTGACTGCACATGCTATATCTGGTCTGCTGTTTGTTGCAATATATAATAATGCCCCTACTGCTTGTCTATATTCTGTATTATCTTCTAGAAGATCATCTTCAGCTTCTAGTTTGCAGTAATTTGTTTCCATTTGCGTATATGTTGGTTTTTCATTCTGAAGTCCAAACTTTTGAACTATTTCTTCGATTTTATTCTTTTGGTTTATTGCAAAAGTTCCATCCTTAAATCTTTCAATGTTTATGCCAAGGTAGTAGGTGACTTCTCCTAGGTTTTTGATTTCGAATTTAGCGTTCAATTGTTGGATTGTTTCCATTACATCTTCTTCTCTTTCACTTCCTATAAGCATATCATCTACATATAATATTATATACATAAATTTTCCATTGATGTTTTTGAAAAACAAGCATGGGTTTGCTTTACTTTGTTTAAATGACATGTTTAGAAGTGTTTTTCCAATTTTCAGATTCCAAGCTCTAGCGGCTTGTTTTAAACCATATATAGATTTCTTCAGCTTGCAAACTTTATTTTCATTTCCAGCTTTTGAGTATCCTTCAGGTTGAGTCATGTAAATTTTCTTCTTCTAGTTCTCCATGAAGGAAAGCTGTTTTGACATCGATATGTCTGACAGACATGTTTTTATATGAAGCTGCACATAGGAAGGCTCGTAGCGTTGTGTATTTTACTACAGGAGCAAAGGTTTCATGATAGTCAAATCCAAACTTCTGGCTAAATCCTTTTGCGACTAATCTGGCTTTGTATCTTTCAATTTTTCCTTCTGCATTGAGCTTTGTCTTGAAAGACCATTTGCATCCTATTGGTTTTCTTCCTTTTGGCAAATCAACTAATTCCCAAGTGTTGTTTTCTTCTAGTGAATTAATTTCTTCTCGAACAGCTGTTAGCCATTTTCTTTTTTCATTTTCTTCCAAACTTTGAATTTCCTTCCAAGTTTTGGGTTCGGAGGAGATTGGATATTTGGCATGGAATCCGTAGCGATCAGGAGGTTTACCTTTTGTGAGTCTGTTCGATCTTCTGACTTCCAAAGGTTCTTCTTCGTGTTCTGATATTTCTTCCTCTTCGGGTTCTTCTATTTTTATTTCTTCCCGTTCTGAGCTTTCTTCCTTAGAATTTTCTTCATCCTGGTTTAAATAGATGCTTACAGGCTCGTCAGTTCCAGTGTCTTCAATAAATCGTACAGATCGACTTATTATAATTTTGTCTCCAGGAATTAAAATTCTGTAGCCTTTACTTCTGCTGTCGTAGCCGACGAGTATGCCTTCTATAGCAGTATCATCCAGTTTACCTCTTTTAGATTTATGGATGTAAGCAAAAGCCTTGCACCCGAAAGTCCTCAGATGAGAGAGTTTGGGTTTCTTGTTATTCCATAATTCGTATGGAGTTTTTGCATTTGGTTTTGTAGGCATACGATTCTGTAAATAATTTGCAGTCAGTACTGCTTCTGCCCAGTATCTGTGAGGTTGACCTGAGTCAGCTAAAAGACATCTTGTCATCTCCATCAAAGACCTATTTTTGCGTTCACTTACTCCATTTTGTGCTGGACAATACGGTACAGTAAGCTGGTGATTTATACCATGTTTTATAAAATATTCGTCAAGTTCCTTACTTGTGTACTCACCACCGTTATCACTTCTTAGCGTTTTTACCTTTCTCCCGAATTTATTTTTTGTAAGAGCAATAAATTGTTTTAGTTTAGAAATTACTTCACTTTTCTTTTTCATTAGGTAAATCATTGTGAACCTGCTGTAATCATCAATAAAAGTTACGAAGTATAGGTATCCGCTGGCAGACGGTGTTTGTACTGGTCCTAAAACATCAGTGTGAACGAGTTCCAGCGGTTTAGATACTCTGAATTTCGATTCTTTAGGATACGGAAAATCAGTTAGTTTACATTTTATGCACTGAATGCATTTTGTATCATGTTTACAATTATTTAGTTTAATTCCTTCAGCGAGTTCTTTGTTTACAAGTTGCTTGATTGCGTCATCATTTCTGTGACCAAGGCATCTATGCCAAAGTTGAACACAGTTCTCATTTTTGCACTGAAATGCTACATGAACTGATGGTTCATTATTCCTGTCTATTGGTTTAATTTGGTAAAGATTATTAGTTGCATGACATTCTAGAATAATCTGATCTCCTTTCACGATCATACATTTATTTCCTTTAAACAGAACCGAAAGTCCTTTTTCTGTTATTTTCTTAATTGAGATTAAATTCATTTCTAATTCAGGAGCATATAAAACTTCCGATAAGAGAACTTCAGTTATTTTTTGTTTAGCATTTAATGTTTTAAAACGGACAGTTCCTATTGCCGTTGATTTAATACATTGCCCATTCGCAGTTATAATATCTGACGGATTTATGGGTTTACATTCCGTGAAATATTTCTTATTATTTACCAGGTGATTACTTGCTCCGCTGTCGAAAATAAAACTCTCGGATGATTGATGTACGGTGTAGTTAATAGACAAAGCAATGCTGTCACATCTGGCTTCGATTTCCGGTGTTTTAATTTTTGTTTGTTGTTTATTCATCGCGAGGTTACCGGCATTCTTTGCTTGGCATGTTTTAGAATCCGAGTATGTTTTCTTTGAGTGTTGGCGCGGTTCTTTTTTTTTTTTTTTTTTTTTTTCGATTTTGGATGATAACACTCTGATCTAAAATGGTTATTTTTATGACAATATGAGCAAAACTTTTCTCTCTTTGTCTTGTTTTGAAATGAGGCTTTAAATGCCTGTGAATCTGATGAATTATTTTCAACTCTCTTGTTAAATTCGTCAATTAATTTCCCTTTTAAGATTCTGGATTCAGTTCCGATTCTGCTCTGGCTTCAAGAGCCGTAATGAGCGTATCGTAAGAACTAGGCATTGAACAAAGAAAAAGTGCCGAAACGTGTTCGTCTTTTATGTTCTCACCTATTGATTTGAGTTTATCCACTAACTCCAGTAATGTATTTACATATTTCCGTCTTCTTCAAGCTTCTAACTGTAAAGCTTTCGCAAAAGAAATAGTTTACTTGAAAGATTAGACCTCTCATGTACTTGCCTGAGCTTTTCCCAGACGGCTTTAGCAGTAGTTTCATATTTAATGTGAATTATTTGGCTGTCTTCGATAAATAAATTTATCATTGCGCGACATTGCTGATCCTGTTTACTCCATTGTTCTGTAAAGGGGCTTGGAGGTACATCTTCGATTACATCATAAAGATCCTCCTTTATTAGTAGCATTTGCATTTTGAATTTCCATGTTGAGTAATTGCTGGAATTCAGTTTTGCAATTTGCATTTGAGTTGAATTCAACATTTTTGTATTGTCGAAAAATTTATTTTCGCTTTTAATATGAAACTACAGTTTAGCTTTTACAATTTTTTCTTTTTATTATTATCATTTAATTAGCTATGATCTTTTCATCAGGACTCATAATCTTTTGTTGTAAAACATCATTATAGCCTCGAAATTTCACAACAAATTAATAAAAATAGAGAGCAAAATTATTCTTCTTACCTTCTATCCAGCGCAGCATCAAGCGAGATCATACCTAATTAACTTGTAATCCAAAATAGGTGTAGACGAAAATTGTAAGATCACAAAACACATTCTTTATTAACACATGAAAAATAGATAAAAATTCGTTAGTATTCCAAATACATATTGAAAAAAAGGAGTTATATTATAGAGAGTCATTGTCCTTTCCTGAAGGAGTGAGAAAAGGTAAGTGTAAAGAATAAGAGAGTTGCACAGTTAACTCTTTTGCAGGGTTTCCAGTTCATACAGTTTATCGCGCTATTGGCTATTGGCTATATGCATACAAACACCATTGAAGGTTAAAGAAAAAGTTAAATACTGTGATGAAACCTTTAGGTCTCATGTCTAATTTTCAAACTTTTTTCTTTTTTTAATTGATAGGTTTACTGGGAGCCTCTGCACCTGTGAATATTCCTTGTAGTGGTGATATTCATGATCGTGGTTTACCTAACTTATCACCACCTGTAACTTCACCATTAGGTTCATTATCTCATAGTCTGCAGCTAGGTTCTTCATCTTTAACACAGACTGATCATTCGTTAGATAAAGTGAGTGCTTTTTTACATGCTCTTATCCCTTATTTAATTTTTAAGTATATATTTATTAATTTGAAATTATTTTAATAAAAAAATAAAGGTACTTACTTATTATCCCGTCAATCATTGGCGGAAATTTTGGCAACAGTTGCCAATCACCAGTCGTTACTACAGAATTCTAAAGGACACGGTCTTCTATATTTGGCGCTAAATCGTGCTACTAGGCTGGTCAATGGGATAATGTGTAAATACCAAAATAAATAATGAAAAAATTTTTCATTTTATTACTGCATGGAATTTTTTTATTATGGTAAAAATTAGGAATTAAGTTTATATAGAACAGTATGTATATAAGATTAACATTTGTTTTGATTTAAAAAACTGTATTAAAAAATAAAACATGCTATAGATAATATAATATTGTAAATTAATGCAATCACATTTATTGATTTTTCTTTTTTTATTTATAGGCTGCAGCAGCATTTTATGGTCATTCTGGGTCTTTTACTAATTCTAAGCTTCATTATCCTGGTTCTAGTTTATATGACTTTGCTGCCCCACAGAATATGTCACCTTCAAATAGAATGGGAACGCAACAGTCTTTAGTACCATCAATAGGTGCATTTAATTCTTTAGGATCTTCTAACTTATCTGAAATTCAAAGGTTAAGAGATGAATTTGCAACAAATAGGTTAAAAATGCCTTGGGATGATGGAACAATACAAGCTAGATCTGTAAGTAATGAATTTTTGAAAATTAAATAAATTTAATGTAAATAATAGTTGACTTTGTATGCTTTATAAACATGGCTGATAAAACCCATGTTTCCTCCCCTTTCTTTTCTGTCTATAAAAAAGCTGGCAACTGAGGGTAATAATAAATAACATTGTGTCTGGTCTGATTCTCATATGAGGCTTGAAAGGTTTTGCATCAGAATTGGCCATCGAACCAATAATAAAAGCTACATTAAACTGAAATTGACATTAATTATTGTTAAAATTATGTATGCATAGAATTCTTAAAGTAGGAAATTAACAGTAGTGATGTAAAAAATAAATATATATGTGTCAAATGGGACAAAAAGCAGTTTGGCTATCCAACCAAATCTAAACACTACATTAAACAGTAGTCAATTTAGTGTCAATGCGATTGTTCGTGAAGTAAAAAATAAATGGATGCATAAAATTCTAAAAGCAAAACATAAGCAATGGTGATGAAAAAGTTAATGTAATTATTTGTATCCCCCCCCCAGTTTTTTAAAGGTGGGAAATATAAATTTCTTGGAACATTATTATTGTATGTTGTATGGTAGTAAAGGTCTAAGGAATTATGCTTCCAATTATTGCAGTGTTTCTTGAAATTACCAATTATGCCATGTATTTCTAATGGTGCATTTTAGAATGAGTTCTGACTTGTTTTTGTAATGGATTGAAACTATTATTAATTTGATGAAATTATTAATTTTGTCAATATGAAGCTCAAATTTTTTATTTATGTACTTTTTGGTATAATCTCAATGCATGGAAGATTTTTAAAATTTAATATTTCTAAACTTATAATGTTTTAAAGTATCATTTTAGAGTTGTAAGTAACAATATAAGATACTTATTTTTTATTTGGTGATTTGGTGACAATAGTTCTTAAAGAAGTGTTTCATCACTTAGGTTAAAATAACACACCGAACAAAGATTAATTTTAGTTTAGAAGTCAAACAACAAAAACAGCCTTATATTCGCAAGTTTTCCTAGGCTATTTTCGATGGTTACCAAAGTGTAAAAGAATGTTCCTTTGCACTTTGGCAGCTGGGGAATGATGGTTAGGTAAAGCCATCAAAACTAGTCCTGGAAAATTTGTGAATATAATGTTGATATTTGTTGTTTGACTTCTAAATTAAATGTTTCATCACTTTGACCAGGTGACTTGTTTTAATTATGAAGTATCTCTTCAGTGTATACTTTTTCATTTTATGAATTTTGCTATTACGAAAATAATCAGATTCTATGTAGTTCCTCTATTTATTAATAATAATTTTTTTTAAATTAAAAGGTTTAAATTTTGTGTTTAGGTTTATCAAACTTATGAAGTATGGAAACGAGAAGCAGAAGAAGCATCTAGAAGAGAAAGATTAGCAGAACAACAAAGGGATGAGGTAACGTTTTCCCCTTAGTATTTAGGAATGATTTTATATGATTGGTAACATTATTACTAAGCCTTGTTTTTTTATAAATGGAGCAATGAAAAATTTCAAATAATGGAAAATTCGGGTTATCAAGTCATGTTATCTTTAACTTAAGACTTCTCCCTTTTGACATTCAATTCATGGAAACTTGATTATGTTTTCTTACAGAAAACTAATTTTGAAATCAAGGACATAATTTGTCTTTAGAACAAGCTTTTTATTGATAGTTTTGAAGAATGTTTGATTGAAGTTTCTGTTAATTTAAAAATTTCCTGGTTATAATGATATAAAATTTGTGTGTTGAAAACTAATTTAATTATAAGCTTTTTCTTTCACATTTTAGGATTTGTGCATATCAAAGAGAAAAATGCTTTGCGTCTAAAATATGAAAATTTTCTTTAAAAGAAGTTACCTTATGGCTAAAAGTAGAACCTTTATAAACTTAGGTTTAAATCCATTTAGTTGAATCAGGTTTAAACTATTTTTGTGTTGTGTTTTTATTTAAGGTAGTTAAATCCTAGAAGAGTCTATTTAAAATTAAACTTTAAATAAACTCTGCACCACCTCCTAAATAAGTTAAAAATATTTAAAATAGCACTGATATTTCCATCCATTTCTCTTTAACTTTGATAAAGTTCAGTGTATAATGTGCTATTATATTGGTTGATTAATCTCTATTTAATAAATCTGTTTTAATTGTTAAAAAATGGTTGTATGTTCCTCACATCAGTTTGCAATAGCAGATTTTTTTTAATTGACCATTGTTATTCTGCTCCAGTTTGTTTAAAATGTAACTCAGTTGTAATTTTTATTTTCAGGCTCTAGCTAAAGTTAGTAATTTACAAAAAGAATTAGATGCTCTGACAGGTGGTCCTTTTCTTCACACATTAACTAGGATATCAGAATTAGAAACTTTACCTTTAAGTAAATTAAAACAATTACAAGAACAACTTAGGGAAGATTTAGAAAAAATAGAGAAGGTAAGTAACTGTCATCTCTTTTATATTTTTAATTCAGGCCTTGTACAATCTTACTCTAGAGTAAAGGTTGGCAAACGTTTGGTCATTCAGGGCACAAAATAAAATTTTTAATTCATAGTAGGTGCCACCCATTCAAGTTCCATAATCAAACGTCATAAATCGCTGAACACTGGTAGTTCGGTCTGAGGTTCGAATCCCACGAATGGGCTGGGCGTTTTCGTGGTTTTCCCCATGTGTAACGTGTATACGAGCCAGTTTTCCTTAGAAAGTCCTCCGCGAAGGCATCTCTCCCCTTATGCAGATAGCCCTAGTGTGCTTTGCCGTATTCTCAATACACCACACCAAACGTCATATTGGAAACTAATTTTGTTGAAAAGATATAACTTTATTGAACTAAATAACAAATATTTATAATTTAAACTCTTTTAAATAATTTTTTATATGTAAGCATGAAATTTATGTTTGTAAAATTCGTCTACGGAGTTATTATAATCGACAATATAATTTGAGTTGCATGCTCTTAAACAACTATCTAAGAGTTCAAGTCGGTAAGTTTTGAATAATACTCTGACTTCAAATAAGTCATATTTGAAAACATCTCACAATATTATAGATACTTGAACAATAAGAATTCATCTTTACTACATGTGTCTTTAAAATAGGATACTGATTTCTGTTTACCAAGCTCTAAAATATTCTATTAGTTTCATATGATTTTAAATTAACATCATTTTGTGAACTTAGTATTTCTAAGTTTTCCGTATTGTTAAGACGAAAATACTTAAAAATTCCTTTAGCCGTGTTTTATCTATCAGTAATACTAAAGGGATTTATAAAGAATTTTAAAATAAGCTCTAAATTCACAAAATCAACGAATCTAGAATCAAATTCACTTTGCAATTCAAGTCTGTATTAATATTATGCTGTTTCAGAGAGTACATAAGTGAATCTTCTAGAGTACATCCCAGTACATACCTTGTAATTATTGATTTTAATGTCGGTCTGAAATTCAGTGTATTCATTTGATCAAAATTGTCACAGAGAGACAACATAGACAGATGTTTTGTACCCACTAAATCTTTATGCCCACATGTACTGATGATTGCATCAGAAAGGTTATTGTTAAAATGCGTGAGGGACTCAAGGTCGCACTATTCGGTCAGTCTGCTCGACAGTGAAATGTTTCAAGCAGTGACGATGCAGTTAAGTAGCTGTTTAACACATAGATGTTAAAATATATAATTTTAATATGTTTTATATAAACATAAACCAAAAACTGCCAAATTGCACACAAGGCAGAATAATTAAGCATGAACGCATTGGGCCAGGGCAATGGCCGCTGCGGTGCCGACCTCTGCTGTAGAGGAAAGTTAAGTTTCACTAATGTGTTTAGAATGAAACGATTCTTTTTGTAAAAGTCTGTTAAAAAAGAGTTTATATTTTAAAAAAGAAATACATTTGTTCAAAAAGGCTGTTTTAACATTTAGTGTAATTTATCAGTAGTGATGGCCCAGGTGGAATAGCAAAACATTTTATAGGATACTACATGAATATGCATTTAGAACAACTGGAAGCAGTATATATCTTCTGTATGTTGAAAAGTGTATATTAAGAATTTAAAAATTAATATTTAGAACTGCAGCTATTTCTTTTAAATAGCTTAGTATTTTTCATAAATAACAGATTAAATTTATAAATTTTGGCGAATGGCAACATACTTAAAACGAAAAGACGCATTTGCAGTGGCTGGCATTCAACGGGAATTAACACAAAATGATGTTTCAAGACTCTAGGGCTAAAGTAGTCATATGCAACTGGAAAATATGTATGAGATACATTTATGCAGCACAAGAAGCAAAATGTTTGCTGTAATAAGGCATGTAAAGCAAACAAAGAATACATTACTCATTGGTGTTCAGTGGTGGCTTTGTCATCAGTTCAAGCCAAAGTAATGACTCTTCTCCCTTTCTGTTTTCTGTGTATTCAATGTTTTTGTTGAAAGAAAGATTTCTTTTGGTAGGCGATGAATACATGAGAGTTATTTTTAAAAAATAAAATTCCCACTTTTTTCCCAAGGAAAAAAAAAAAAATCAGCATATCCTTTCGTTAAAATGCATTTTTGTCAAAGCAATCATTTTGTAGATTTATTTGGCATGGAAATAGTAATACAGAAAATTAATCATAATTTTTTTTAAATATCATGACTAAATTTCTACACTTCTTCAAGAAGTGTCTGATCTAGTGTGAACTGTATTTAAGATAATATGCAGTTTGTAAAATACCTGTTTGAGATTGTTTCCTAATCAGCTCCGCAGAAATGTAAAAGCTGCATCACTCACCTCTTCAGAACTCTTTACTGTGTATATAAGTGTAACTTAAAAGTCACTAGCATATGCGGTTGTATGTTATAGTTCATATTTTCAATCCAGTATTATTCTTAGCTTCTCAGTTTTATTTTGAAACACCAGTGGGAATAATATCCCCCACCCAGTTCAACTGTTTGATAGCAGTACCTGCTTCCCCCTGCCAATTGTATGATGTATATTTGTTTCATTTGCATCATGATTATGATTAAGATACATAATTAAATTTTTATTTTATTGTCAGTACATCATAATAGTCAATAATGTCATTACATTAAAATAGTTAGTTATGGGTACTTAATTTGATAACTAATTCATCATATCTGATCAGAGAAATTGAAAGCTCAATTAGAGTATGATTTACATATGGAACTTTTATATACAGTCAAAAGTCTTTAATCCGGACGTCCATAATCGGGAATGATTTATAATACGGACCACAAAGCTACAAACTTTTCTGCGCATGCGTCGACGCATGTGCATAATACCTTTACGCATGCGCATAATACATTTACGCATGTGCGTTTAATGTGTAACGGATAGTATAAGCTAAGCTAAAATTATCTAATTCAGTGAATGTTGCAGATTGCATTGTTCCTTAATCTTCTAATTGGATCCGGCTTATTATTTTTTTTGCAGACTGTTAGAGCAATTTTATAAAAGTAAGCTTGAACTTTCGATTATGTCAAAAAGAATTTCCGATTCTGGAGCTACCAAAAGATCTACAAAGCGAAAGCATGTTTCCATGTCCATCAAACAAAAAGTGGAATTGCTGCAAAAAAATGGATAAATGCGTATCCTTTGATTCTCTAATCATTCCGAAATATGTTTATCAATTTCACGCTGCTCTGCAGGGGGACGACGACGACGCAGCACGCAATGAACTGGAAGTTGATCTGTCAGCACTATCCTTATCTTCAGGGCAGATATTTTTATTTTATTCGGCTTATAATTCCTTACTAAATGTAGTATTTCATCTCGATGTACTCCGTCTTTGACATGATTTAAATCATATTCCTCGTCATCATAAATATCACGAATACACATCAAATAGTTTTCTGGTTGCAATTTTCTAATTTCGACTATGCTTAATGTATGCTTTACGCATGCGCGCGTTGAAAGAAATGTTTAATAAAGTAAACAAAAAAATATAATTTTTTTTTTTTTTTTTTTTTTTTTTTTTTTTTTTGTAAATTTTGATGCCCTTTAGATCATAATTGCTCTTTATTTCATAAATTACGGTTTCATCTTTTTAATTTTATAATTTCTGCATGCCATCTTACCAGATTTAAACTGATCCGGAATCGCCGAAGTCCCGACGATTCCAGATTAAAGACTTTTGTTTTTCCATATGCATTGGCATTTACCACTGAGAAACTGTTTTGGTGAAAGAGTATTGATTACTATACTTCAGTGGTGAAAGTTCTTATTTATATTTAAAAAAATACAGTAATGGTAACAATAATCCCTAGAAGGTTTATCTGCTGGTTGATTTTAAATCCATGTCTGCCAATTTTTGTGAATTTTTCATAGCTTTTACAAAACTGCTGCAGTGTTGCAATTTTGCACATGAAATCCCCCCCTTTTTTTTACAAATTTTGCAAATTTTTTTCAGTATCAGAAATTGGTCCAGTTTGGCAGTTTTCTAGAAAATTTATATTTTAAACACATATTCTTAGCATATCTGTATGAACTGTTGGAATTTGTCCTCAGTGTCGCATTTAAAATGAGTTCTCCCCCAAATATGAATTTATGCTTTTTGTGTGCCTGTGAGTGAGAAAGAGACTGTGTTTGATAATTTTTCAATATGTAGGAAAGGCCAATTTAGCTACGTAAATTTAATAATTGCTATGGAGCAAGATTTATGAACTACATTTTAGTAGAAGCGAGAAAGCTATTATTAAAAAAAAAAGTGTAGTTTGATTTCCCACTTTGTTATAATGAGTATTTTCATTTCATCTAATTGTTTTGATATATTCGGATATGTGTCCATTTTGTTTTAAACTCACTTTTCACTTTTTTTCTGGTTCCACCTCCCACAATTTCTCATTAATAGGTAAGCATTTCTAAAGCATGTTTGTAATATAATTTTAACCAAAAAATCATCATTGTAATTCCTGTATAGATTAATATGGAGCAAGACATTTCTGATAAAGTTCATCTTGCAAAAATTAATTTTTACATTATTAGTTTTCTTTTAAAATTAATTTTGTTTATTTTTTCTATTTTAGGTGGTATTTTATCAAACAGCTACAAAGTGTATGATATGTGAAGATAAAAATCGTAGTATTACTGTAGTGCCGTGTAGCCACTATGTTTTGTGTAATCAATGTGCCCCACATCAAAAGAACTGTCCGTACTGCCACGAAGCAATTACTTCATTATCAAACGCATCTTTATAAGATTAATTGTTTTTAGGTTTTTTGAGATTGAAACTTTTAACATAGTTCCCCTGCTCGCTGTGACCATCTTTTGACAATATATATTTCCATTTGTATAATATACAGCTCTGTAAAATGAAAAGTTATTCCAGATTTTATCAACTTTATTGTTGGACATGTGTGTGGTGACTGAAAAAAAAAGTCATTTTAAAATTTATTTATTTCTTGTGAGAACTGCAGTTTTTGTCTTCTGATATGTCGTTAGTTATCAGTGACGTTGATTTCTGCATCATATGGCATTGAGCTTAAAATTTTGGTCTGCAAATCATGTGTCTAAATGTGTTTTAAACAACAGAAAAAAAAAAAAAAAAAAAAAAATCAATCTACCAAGAATTAATATTTTTTAAATTTTATTGCATAAAAACTAAAAAACATTAAATCAAGTTTTATATCTGGGAGCCTTGAGATGTATAAATGTTCTGAGCAAAGTATTAATTAGCTTTTTTTTATTAAATTTAACTTTGTATTCATCTTTTTTAATTATTATTATTATTTTATTTACATATTATGTCAGTGAGCAAACAAAATGATGAAATTTAGAGGTTTTAAATTTGAACAAAATTAAATATTTCTTGTTAAACTGTTTAAGCAAGCCTTATTTTTATGTGAACCAAAGGTTAGTTTACAGTTTTTTAAATAATATATAGTAATTTGTCATTTTTTATATTTGAAATTTAGATACTTACATGTATTGCTGTTTTATATTGTGGGCATTATATGTGTGAATAACCAAGTGTGTTACTCAAGCTTACCTGCATATTAGTTTGATTATGTTGATTTCAAGAATTTGTACTTAAATTTTCTTATGTTTTTAAAGCAAGAGATGTATCCAAACTTCTATATTTTGTCTTTTTCTCTTTTGTATGAATTTCTTAAAATGAATTGTTTATTAAAAAAAAAAAGAACTTCCATATATTTTCTTTTCATAATCTAAATAAGTTTCCTTTTTATCACATTTCGCTTTTAAAAATTTAATGAGTTTTTTAAGGAAAGTATAGTTTTTGAGTGGTATATTATTTATAAGGACTGACTAGTATAAATGGTCCTGAAAAATGTTTAATGATTTAGACTTATATTACATTTTAATCTTAATTTCCACCCATTTTATAGGGATATTAAAAAGTTTTTTGATTTGACTATACTATGTTAATATAAATGATTTTTTAATATAGCAATATTAAATGAACAAAATATGAAAGCTCAACTCTTTGATCTTATATTTTGTTTAATTTTATTCATTATTTAAATTAAAGTTTTATTTCATTTCATTTTTTTCCTGAAATTATGACATGTTTCAGAGGAGGGTGTAATTTATTTTATATATTATTTTGCATTAAAATAAGTTATACATTTCAAAAATGGTGCAAAGATCATTGATAATTAATCTGCAGTAACTACAAGATAGAATTTTAGATGCTGTTTTTTCCCTCTTACAGTCCCCTGATACAGTACTTGAAAATAATATTTGAGTATTTTGTTATCACATAATTGCTAAAGTAAAACTACTAAAATAGTATTATACAAAAACATTTGGTACTATTTACTATTTTAAAGAATTTTGATAACTGAAATTATGTAAAAAAAAAGTTTCCAGTAAAATGGTACAGAATATGCAAGAAAATTTCTGAAAAGGAGCTTATGAGAAATTGCTTTGTAGGTAAAAGTACTCTCGAAAAGACAATGTTTTGATTAAATATATATTTCTTTATAAAATCAGAAAGTAATTGCAGAAAATTATAATGTAAAAGAAATACTTACATTAAGTTTTAAATATAAAATTGTTTCTTTATTTAACTAACAATAGAAATTAATTTATTTGGGTACATCTCTTGTGCGAATTCCAAAAGACATTCCAGTGTCTGGTAATGTGCTTTAAAAGCCAGTAATTCATAATTACTGCCTCTTCTTTGCATTAATCTAATTATGAATGCATATTTTGCTTAAATGTTTACTTACTAAAAAGCTATAGCTGCTTTGCATAATATGTCTGAATCATGTAAAATGGCATCTTCATGTATAATGTAAAGTTAGATTTTTCTTGGACCATAATAATTTCATTTTGTGTTGAATTGTATGGAATTAAATATAAAATTGTTTAAAAATCTGATATTTATTTAGATTTTATAAATCGCAAAGTTTATTCTTTATATATTTGTGATTATCATAACAAAAGAGGATTTATAAATGAGGTTCAGGTAGTTTGCAGGGGGGAGGCATTGGCATGTTGCAAAAAGCTCATATAGAGAGAGGAAGAAGTTTGAATTGCTGTTTTCAAAATAAGTTATTTAGCAAAACATCGTATCATTAATGTTAAGTTTTTTGTTTTTTTTTTTAATTGTATTTTGTTTTAAATATCAGGTTCATTCTAGTTCTGCCCCCCTTCCACACGAGTTTTGAAAATAAAATTTAAATTATAATAAAATACTACCTTCACATAAATTTATGTTTGATATTAGATTATTATTTTTTAATGTGGTGTCAAGTTTCTAAATAAGTCCCCCTTTTAGTTTTAAAAGCATTCCAGTAACTGATGTAAATCTAGTTATATATTTCTTAAATTACCTGTACATAATTGATGGTCTTAAGTTGTTTCACTTTCTCTAAAAGCGTTGGAAAGTTATTTTTTAATGAGTAATCAGGATAAAAGTATCAAAACAAACTATTCAAACAAATATTATTGAGTAAGAATTGACTTTCTTATACTCATGTTCAGTTTACCTCCCCCCCCACACAAAATTATTAATATTATTTTTGATAAGGATCTCATATGTATTCTTCATATGATTATGCCTGTACATTATAAGTTCAGAAAACATTGCAAAAATTGCTTTCACTACTCTTGTTAGTAAATATGTATTGTAAAATTATTTTTATTCGTAAAATTTTTACCAGCTGTGAATGAAAGTATGATAAAAATTAGTCTTGAAATTAATTTCTGTTATTGAATAGCTTTCATTGCTCTTGTCATTTTTTCATGTTGAAGAAAGTAGTAGATATTTAGTCAAACTTATCAGTTATTGAAATGTTTATAATAATAATCATTAATTGAAATGTGATCGTATTCATATTAACAGTCTTTTTCTATAAGCAAAACAAAAGGTTATATTTTATAGTAATATTTTCTTTTTTTTCTCATCCCATTAAACTAAGCTATGTATTATATGAAGTGAGATTTTGAAGTCTCAGGGGATGCTATTTTGTTATGGATATGAAAGAATGTTACCTGTGAGTGAGCATACTTGCTTTGTATATATTTCCATATTACACAAATTTTTCATTAGTAGATTTTGTTTATAAGTATTTTAAACTTTAGATATATGGAGACAATGTACAGTGAAAAGTAGCTGTAAATGTTTATAAAGCACACTAAGTAATAATAGTTACAAATTAGAAAATTTTTAAATGTTGAGCTCATAGGAGCATGCTGGTAAATTTTATTATGCGAGCCTAGTGAAGTGTATTGAGGGTTGCAGAAGTATTTTATTTACTTTTAATTACGAAACTTTTCTCCCTTTCATTACAGAAAAGAATTATTTCTGTAAAAGGAATTTGACGCTATTAGTTTCTAAGCAAACTGCATGTATGGAAATTTTTTATATATTGTAAAGTTACAATCTGCTATTTATTAAGTCTTTAATTCACTGTAATTATATTCTTTACAAATGTAGTTAGTTACAAAGGGAATTATGTAATGTGCAGGTGTTATTACTGATATTTCAACACTGCCCGACATTTATAATTCATCTGCACCATTGTAATAACTGGTGATAAATTTCATATTTTTATTTTTTCACATCATTTCCTGGTGATATCTTTTGTATGATTCAGTAATTTTCCCTGCACGGTGAATGCTATAAAGAAGTTTACGTAATTAAATTATTTTCTCTGTATTCACTTAAATATTGATTTAATATAAAAGATAAATTCATATTTTATATTTACTTGGAATCTATGGAAATAATTTGATTTTTGCAAAGTTATTATTTATATTGTATATGAATAAAAATGAATTTTTATTAGTAAAAATATTTACAGTTTTATTAGATATTAAGTTTCACTATATAAATAGTGTAGTGCATAAATGCATGGTATGTAACTTTAATTTGTCATCTCGGTTAAACCTTGCAATGCCAAAAAAAAAAAATTTTTTTTTTTAACTTGACTTCAGTTACCTGGATTGCTTGTTCTTTTTTCTGAGTATGTTAATTTGTGTTTTGTTAAATTTTCTATCAGTTAAGTATAGAAATTTAATTATTTGTAACCCATAATAGATGATATGCTTTGTTTCAACAAAATAGCTTTTTTATTTAGTTTTCATGCAGAGTCGTATGATGTATGTAATTTTTTTAAAGGTTAGGAAAGGGGAAAATAGGTTCATTGTATTTTGTCAAAAAAAGAAAAAGGGTGTAATCTTGTTTTATTGAAATAGAGCTGTTTTGTGTATGTGTGTGTGTATATATATATTATAGACAAAAAAGTAAGAAATTTGGAAGCTAATTCACAATGATATGAACAAAATAAAATGAAAACTAGTGAATTCCAAAATTTCCAAATAAACATCAACTAATTGTTTTATTTTATTTATATATATATATATTAATTTTACCTTCCTTCAATTAAAAATTGAATTCTTCTCTTGCATTACAATGAAATTATATTTAGTCTATATAATTTTCTCGAATATCCAGGTAAGCTGTCATCCAGAAACTTTAGTATTAAATGGCATTATTTATAAATGAATTATCAAAAAAAAAAAAAAAAAAAGTGCATGTGTTATTCTTGAATTTTAACACTTTATCTACAATTAAGAAATGATAATATCCATCTTTGGTAAATTGTGTGGGATACTGAGATTATTAGTTTACATTTTCACACTTTAAAAGTTGCATTTATGGAAATACATAGTGACATTTACCTTTTTTCTATAAAATTTTTAGTCATTATTGATGCAAACCTGTGCCTCTCCCAGGTTGGTTTTTCTACTTTAATATAATTTTTATCCTCCTCTGATAACATTTTCACTTGGCTCATTTTGTCAGCATATTCCTATAAATTATAATTTCAAGACAGTTGTTTTCATAATGTCTACATATACATTCAACTCGGTGAACTATTAATTTCTTTATATTTATGTTTGTGGCTGTTCATGCTTGTGGGCATTGCAAGCCCCATGTTTTTTATCACAACTGAAGTACAAAAACCTTGCAGCTAGCTGTGAAATTGTTTACAAAAATAAAATAAAACGACCAAAAAAAATTCTGCATTCTAGTGCCAATAAAATAATGCACTTCTTACTGCAGTTTAACAAACTTAAGAGGATCAACGTGAATTAAGATAATATTGTTTGAGATTTGGTTTGCTTTTGTGATAATAACCATTTGTATACATTTAATATTTTAACTCAAATACAGTTTTATTTGAAACGGTAACTGAGCAATTATTAACTGAAATAAGGATTCATTTACTTAAACAACAAAGAAATAAATCATAAAATTAAATCTGTATGTGATGTCAAAGAAAACTCAATTAAGATGTCAGTATTGAAATATTGTTGATGTTGATTAACTTTTATTTTTGGAAGTGAACTTGTGTGTATCAAATATATAACCATGTTCTATGGATGTATAAATTTTTCACTTTACTAAAAATTAGTCATTGTAGTTAGGCATAAATTAGAAAATTGGAATTAAAATTTATTATTCATTTATTGTCTAAAGAATGTATTCAAAAATTAGAAATAGAGATTTTTTTGTTTTCATTTGTAAAAGTTGTTATTTTTTTAATATAACTTGTAAAGTATGTGTTCAGAGTACATTTCAGAAAAGTTTTAACTCTAATATTTATTTCAGTTGGTTATTATTGAAATCTGTGTGTGTTGAAACTTTTCTGATAATTAATTAATTCTATTGCATTATAAAGAAAGTTCGTCATTGCAAAAGTATGTGTTATGATGGTAAACTGTGCTTTCAGAATTTCAATACTTGTATTTAGGCATTCATTTTTAATTTTGTTTTTGTGTTTTTTAATTGTTTCTGTTTCAGTGTATGTGTATTTTATTTTTAGATTTTAAAATGGAATATTTATATCATTGAAAATTCCTTTTATTTTAATATGGTAAAAGTATTTCAAATTTCATTTATACAAGTGATTTCGCCTTCAGTTAAAACATCTGGTGATGAAAATGGTTATATTAATTCAAATTTTATGTATAATAAAATAGTTGGAAACTTAATTTGTTATGTTACTTCAGTACATCGGGTGCATATTGTAATTAAAAGCTGTTACAATATTTTTACATAATTTTAGCTTTTATTTATTTATTTATTTTAAAGAATTTTTTTTTGCATATACAGTGAAACTTGGTCAAGTGACTGCCCTTGGAACTGTAAAAACAAGATATTATACCTTTTATTGTTTTATTCAAGGGAACAAAATTTATGAGACGTAATGGTTTTTAAATAATAACTGCATTGTTAATTTTTTTAATCTGATAGTACAACAATGTTAAATGTATTTGAAATGTTAAAAAAAAATGTATGTCATATACAGTTTTGCATTATTAAAAGTGCACAAAAATTATCCCTTATTTGACATAGATTAAATATTTTTAACCTTTTATTGCATAATTAACTTTTTGTAAAAATAATACAAATCTGAAGAAAGACTTTCTTGTACAAAAATTTAGTAATAAATAGTTTGTACATTTTTTATCACTTCTGTATGATTAGATTTTATATTTTTCAGTTAGAATAAAAGCAGATAAAAGGATACTTCAGTCAATTAAGTTTTTTCTCGTCATAGAAATATCCTCACCGTGCTTAATCTTAACATTGCCAATTTTTCCCCCACCTTTTGATATTGATAGAATTGTTTAAAGTTATCAATATCTGTAAAAAAAATTCTCGAATAATATGTCTATAACATCAGGGCTGATTAACAAAATATTCAGTATTTAAAGTGTCTTTGAAAGTGTGTGGAACTGAACTGAAAATGCTCTTGAAAAATTCTACTTTTAACAACTCTAAGAAATTGTGCTGTATTGTCTTCAAGACGTTTTACTTTATTTATTCAAATAGCAATTTTTTAAGTAAATTCTATTTTTTTTTTTTTTTTTTTTTTTTTTTTCCTTCATGGAATTTATTCCTGTGCAAAATAATTTGATCAGTTTTGAGTTTGTATGGGTGAAAGGTATTAAGGTATGATTGATGTATTACCTGAAAGTAATTTGATATCTGATGTTAGTCTTTTGAAGATCAGTTTTCACAACTGAAAATTTAACTGTTTATTAATTAATCTGTAGACATTTTGAATTGCATCATATAACTTTTTTTTGTACTAAAGTGCTACCAATTGAGGCATTATTGATTGTATGGACAGGAATTTTCTTGCAGTTTATGCAATCGTTACAGTTTTTTAAATTTTTTCGACATTACTCAGTGCTGAAGAATTATGCACATCTATTACAAGTATCGAAACAAAACTTAAGAATAACTTAAATGCATAATGAAGTTTATTTTTTTAATCATCCTTTGTCTTAAAAATATCCATATATTAATCTGTTAATTTTTTTAATCTAATTTTTGTCAGCATTTTAAATAATGAAAGAGAAGTCTAGTGATATCAATAAATAATGGAAAAGATTAGGAAATCCTTTTACATATATGCATATATATATATATATATATATATTTTAATACGAAAACATATATAAAGGGTGTTACTTTTTCATGTTTCGCTGTGGTTGCTTTTTCCCCCCTTTTAAAGAGCTCAGTAACTAATTACGTGCAAATTTTAATTTAAAATGTATTTAGTATAGGTATGTTTTATCTGTTTACAGATTAAACATAATTTTATAAAATTTATACATATAATAAAATTGCTGTTGTGATCTAAAATGAAGTATTAGCTGATTTTGATTGCATAATTGTAAATTATTTTCAAACAATTATATTGTTTGGCTGAAAAATAATGAATTTAATTGTGGAACAGGTGGATCTATAAGAACGTGAAATTTCCAAGAAATTATTGCGAGTAGATTTAATTTATAAATTTATTAAGTTTTGTTCCCCTTTGTTGATCCTCTTAAGCTGAATTTTTTAATTTCAGTATACTTAAGAATTATCTATCAAATTTGAAATAAATATATTTCCAGTAGTCTGTAATGTTTCTGTGTTTATGAAATATAAAAATTTAAATTTCAGAGTTTATACTTTTTTTAATAAAATTTCATAGTACATTTCATATATGTGAATCTATTTTCAGTGCATTTCATGTTTTAAAAGTTTTTAGTGTTCAAAATAAAATGTTTTAGATAAAATTTTACTTCTGTATCTATTACAGTTACAATGGCAGAAAGGGAACTTGGGAAATTTTTGTAGTGTCAGTGTTGTTTTCTGCAAATTTAATTTATTGCTTAAGATTAAAAGTATATTTTCTAAATAAAATTACATTTTCATTCACTCATACACTTGAGAATTTTAATATTTTTTTGTTTTTTTATCTGCTGATTCGATGAATATAGCAGAAGATCTGACATCTGCATAACTTGGGATACAATGCTTTTTGTATTTGCCACCGAGATAGTGGTTAGGGAAGTCTATTGTGATACCAAAGATCCCTGGTTCTAGTTTAGTGGTTAGGGAAGCCTATTGCGATACCGAAGGTCCCTGGTTCGATTCACGTAGAAGGCATGGTTGTAACCCTTCATAGGAGGAAAAGGTGACCCACCTATTAGTTTGCTTCTATAATAAAGTCACCACCACTTCTTGCCTTAGTTGTGGCTAAACCGAAGTGGGCCGAAGGCCTGCAATGGGAGTTTGCTTTGTAGATTTTATTTTTAGATTGTAGATCATAAGAGAAAAATCATGAATTTAGATTCATAAAATAAAAATGAAGGATAAAAAGCATATTAACATGTTGACTGTTGATATGCATAAGGTATTGCATGAGTGGACCACATTACTTATCACATTGTTAAAAAGTATGGAACAATTATTTTCAAAAGTGGAAATTTTATTATTTGGTTCATGTGCATGCCAATGTATATGCATATGCTAGACACGTATAGGCTATCATCTTCAAGTATAATTTAGGTTCTGCACTATTTATTAGACAGCATAATAACATTTGTATTAGATCATTCCAAATCTCAAACCTAAGTATATTTTTTATTTATAAGTTTGGAAAAAAAAAGAAAACTAGGTTATTTTATGTAAGATACAATGTGGTGTTTTATATCAATTCTATTCATTTTTAAACAATACTTTGTGCTTCTCAGAACATTCTAGCACATATTCATATGTTTTGAAGACATCATTTCAAAATGAATATTATTTCCAAAATTTTAAATTTTTGTCCATTTTTATGAGTAATAAAAAGATACATTTGTAATTTGGGTCATGCAGAGTGATTTGGAGGCCAGAGAAATTTATATTCCCATAAGGAAGCTGTGGAAAAGGTGACCCACCATCGCATCCGGAAATTATGGCAATCTACTAGAGACCCAAGAATTAAAACTCACTTAAACGCTCTTCAAAGGACCATTAAAAAAGGTATCAGGGAATTTAAATCTCAACGGAGCAACTTCTTAAACACTCTTGCTACTGAGGACGATTCCCTCTATGACACTGCTTGTAAATTCAAAAAGCCTTTCAAGCAGATTCCTCCACTTTATGGTTGCAGTGGACTTGTTTATTCTGAAGAAGCCAATACTTTCGCTGACATTCTTGAAGATACCTTTACTCCCAATGCTTCCCCATATGATAATGATCATATCGCCAAAGTCAATAGAAGAGTATATTCTTTCCTTAATAGCCCTGGACCACGTAATTTCACCTTTCTTGCTTCTCCGAGAATTGTTGCGGATTTTATTAGCTCTTTAAAAACTAAAAAACTGCTGGATGTGATGGCATTTCTTCCAAAGCACTCAAGCATCTTCCAATTAATGCAATTACATGCTTAACTAAAATAATTAACTCAGTTATCAAGTTCTCTTACTTCCCAAAAGTATGGAAACATGCAGTTGTTGTCGTCTTCCCTAAGCCTCATCAAAATTCTACTTTTCCTCAAAATTATTGGCCTATCAGTTGACTTAGTCAAATTTCTAAAATTGCTGAAAAAATTATTCTGTTTTATATTAATCAAATCATGCCTGCCAGCTCTTATACTCCTGATGAACAATTTGGATTCAGATATCTGCACAGCACCAATCATCAGCTTCTCTGCATTATCAATTACATTACTGATGGATTCAATTGCAAATTTCCTACCGGCACAATTTTCTTAGATATTGCCAAAGCCTTATATTCAAACGATTTCAGCTCAATTTTTCAAACCATTTTATTCGACTTATTGCCTCTTACCTCAGAAATCTGACTTTAGCTGTCAAAGTTTGAAACACCCTCTCAACTACTAGAAATATTATTGATGGTGTCCCTCAAGGCTCCGTTCTCTCTCCTTTTCTTTACAATATTTATACTCAAGATATTCCAAAAGAATCTCGTATTACTATCGCCTTATTTGCCGACGATACCGCTATCCTATCTCAAGCTGCAACCATCAATACTGTACAAATTTTTCTACAAAACTATTTGGAGCTTCTTGAAAACTGGATGATGCTGTGGAGAATTGCCATTTACACTGACAAAACCAAAGCTGTTATTTTCAGAAAAGGACAAAAAAATTTCCTTTCGCCTAATCCCATCTTTTTGACAACGAAATTCAGTGGACGGATCAAGTGAAGTATCTTGGAGTCACGCTTGACAAAAAACTAACTTTTCGACAACATTTACACGAAACTGTCAGGAAATTCAATATCTCAATAGCTACTATGCGTCCTCTCCTCGGCAGTCATAGCAATCTGACTGTCAACAATAGCTTATTTTATACAAGTCCATCCTTAGACCTACTTTACTTTATGCCAGTCCGGTATGGGGACACGCCACTAAAACCCACATAAAAAAAGATCCAAGTTATTGAAAATAAAACCCTTCGTGAAATTATTAATGCACCGTGATTCATCCCAAATTCATATATTCACAGAGATCTTCAAATTGATACTATACAAAATTATATCAAAAAACTTGCAACAAATTTTTTCCTTTCTGTACTATTACATCCAAACAGCTGTATCAGCTCTTTGCGATGCTCACCTTTTCCCAGAGCAAAACACAAATATCCTTCGGATATTCTAACCTAACATTTTGTTAATTATTTGAAGTGCCTACTACCTTACTAAACCAACTTTTTTTTTCATAGTGCTGGTCTATTTTCATTCATTTCATCTTTCTTCGCCAACTGATGGCGGCTAAGTGAAATATCTCATTCTACCATCTTGATTCTTCATATTTTCCTTTTGTTGTTCCAGACATTCTTTTATCTGATACAGAGTTAAAGCGCGCTGTCACTCTCTTTTCATTCGACACAAGCAAGTGGTACATGCAGCCACAAATGGTGCTGTGAGCCAGGAGACCCTAAAAGGAAGCCTATCATGATCCGCTGGAGGGGGCCACGTGGCAGTTAAGGTGTTAAAGAAAACAACAACAACAAAAAAAAATTGTAATACTTTGTTCTATTGAAATTTGGAATCTTTTCACCTTCTTAAATTATAGGACGTTCATCATTTTTTTATACTCCCATTTGGAAAGTGGGTTTCCATCTTTTTTGTTTTCTTTTTTTGTTCTTAAAAGCCAATTCTCATCAGTGTGTTTGGTATCTCATTACATTGTATTAGTGTCATAAACTTAATCTTCTTACACTGATTTTTAACCGTTTGACTGCTACGCGGCGCAAAAGCGCTGCGTTCATTTGTCTCGAAAACCGTGCGCTGCGAGTTTCAGTGTGTCTTTATTGCTCTGTGTGTGTGAACGTATGTAGTCTGACCTCATGCGTACTTTGTAATACGAGTGCATTCTAAAATAACTAACTGCGTTGCTGTTTTCGAGACAAATGAACGCAGCGCTTTTGCGCCATGTAGCAGTCAAACGGTTAAACACTGTCGGTGATTTCATCTTTCTCATATGAGAATGGTCTTCATTCATCCGGATTTATTATCAGTCTGTGTTGCAGTATTGAAATATTTTTTCCCATTTTGCAAAACATAGGTTTCTATCTGTAATAACTTCATTAAATCTTGATTTAATAAAAAGTGAGTAATATAAGTAACGTCATTTTTTTTAAATCAAAATGTATTTGTGGGTAGAAATTTTTAGTATCTGAAAGTTTTACAGCTATACAGTCACATCTGAGAAGCTGTGTGAATTTCATGTTATTTGATGTGTTTCCAAAACTTTTAAACTAAAATTCATTATTTGTAACTGAACTTTTTGGTCAGTTATTTAATTGCAACAAAACTTTAGAAAACTGTCTGCTTAAAGAATATGAGATTTTGTGGAAGAAACTGGCTTGCATTTGTATTTATTACAAGTGCTAGGGGAAGGATAAAGAAATGAAGCAGCTAATCTTTTCATATACTAGGAACTGAATCTAGATTCGTTTACAAGTGTTTTCCAGTTTTAGCCATGCAGTTACTGGTAGGCTTGAAATTATTGAATGTAGGTATTTTTGGTCCATGTATTTTCTAAATAAAATATCTCTGTTTTAGTTAACACGAAATTTTACAGTTACAGTTGTATTAATTAATTTACTTGGCATATCTCTGTCTAGCATGTTAAAAGATATATAAATAAAACATTAATGTGAAGGGTTATGTATTCTACAGGGCTGTGGAGTCGGAGTTGCGTAGATTTTGGGGTAAAAGGAGTTAGGAGTCACTAAAAACACGTCGACTTCAAATCCAGTTTTTGTTGGACAATTTGAATTTGAAATGAAATTAAAGGGAATTGAAAAAAAAAATTAATGACAAACTGAGTTAATATTTTTATTTATGAACTATATACATTAATAAATAGTTATTTCCTATTTTATTGTCATATTAATAAAAAAAAATATAAGAGAGCAGGAGGGATGTGATATTTGCCATTATTAATTAATCTGATTCATTTAGTTACAAATCTCATTGGTAAATTTAGGTAAGCAGCAAGAAAAAGCTATTATTGATCGAGCAACGCGATGGGGAAGTGCATATTTGATGATATGGATTTTGTTGGAATTAAGAACTTTTTCAGAAGATGTGGATAACCCTATTTTACTAACAGAAAGACTGTGGAATGATCTTGCAGAATTGGAAACTCTTCTTTCGATACTGTGTATAGCCACAAAAAAGCTACAATCTGAAGAATTAACAGGAGGTAAGAATGTTAGAAGATGTAGATAACCCTAATGTTTCATTCTCAGAACAACTGGAGTATTAAAATCAGGACAGTCTAATTGCAGACATTGCAACTGAGTCTCTGTCATCCTCTTACACCAGGGATGTCAAACTCATAGGTGCACTTGGGCCAAACAAACAAGGTTTAACTTTAGGTGGGCCGCAAAAAAAAAAAAAAATCAATATTCATAG